CCGAGCGGCTGGATGCAGATGAAGAGCTGGAGCCACTACTTGAGCCTGTGCTGGTACTGGATCCTGAGCTGGAGGTGGAACTGGACCGAGACCTGAAGGCAAGGTGAAACAGTCAAGGTGACAATGAGTGGTAATCACATTTCTCCACAGCAAATTCCCTAGAAATGGAAATTGCTGCCCGTGTCTTTTTGTCTCAACTATTTTTCCCAGTAGGGAAAATGTACCTTGCCCAGACAGGTCACGGTACTACGCAGTGACAGGAAATGCAGGGATGGGATACTTCATCTACACAGAAGCCTTCCATACTAGGAAGTAAAGGAGAAATGTATCAAGCCAGAACCATCACCTTGGCTTGGGAAGGGGGCCTATGGATACACTCAGGCTGGTTTTCTTTTCTTTTTTAGTATGGGGGATTGAACCCAGGGGCCCTTAAACACTGAGCCACATCTCCAGACCTTTTTAAAATATTTATTTAGAGAAAGCATCTTGCTAAGATGCTGAAGCTGGCTTTAACTTGTGATCCTCCTGCCTCAGCCTTCTGAGTCACGAGGATCAGGCATGTGCCACAACACCTGGCTGGTTTTCTTTTTTGCTATGGAGGATTGAACCCAGCAGTGCTTTATAACTGAGTTCCATTCTCAGCCCTTTTAAGGTTGGCCTCAAACTCATGATCCTCCTATTTCAGCCTCCTGAATGCTGGAATTATAAGCGTGTGCCACCATGTCTTGCTTCAGGCTGGTTCTCAAATTACTGAAAACCAACCATGTGAGGTACGACATGCTTTTAATCTCAGAGACACAAGAGGCTGAAAACAGGAGGATCACAAATTTGAGGCCAGCTTTAGCAATTCAACTACTGAAAAATAAGCTGTAGGCTAGAGCTGCTCAAACACAATTCTGAATAAGATACACTTATTCAGAAAAACATACCCTAAATGTCTCATTCCTCAGATCTTGCAGGAAACTGCGGGGGGGGGCACGCGACGGCGCACACCAGAGCAGACTCCAAACCAGCATGCTATGATTTAGGATCTCTATAATAACTGCAGAGTATGGCTGCTTTCTAACTGTGGGTTCAGTGGGGAAGGAGGATTTGGCTATTGCAGCAGCCTCTGCTTCACCTGGTACTACTGCTTCCACTGGAAGCACTGCGCCTCTTCCGAGTCTTATCCCTGCCACGGTCCTTCTCGCTTGACTCCTTGGTGGTCCCTTTGTCTTTAGAGCGATCTTTGGACTTCTCATCAGAGCGGTCCTTGCGTTTGGTAGGAGAAGGAGCCCTAGGTGGTGAGGAAAAGTGTGAGATTGCATGTTCCTCTGATCAAACCCTGAAACAATTGCACAACCCAAAAGAGGGGTCCAAAAGGGCAAGAAATCCCATGTGATCACACAGCAAATGATCTGTGGATTAGGACACTCACTGTGGAATGCATAACATTTTCAATCTTCCCCTTTCTGAGGGTCCCTGGCAATGAGCACCCCCAAAGTAGCACTAGAAAAATCTTACAGAAGGATTACCTAGTGCTGGACTTTTTATTATTTTCTTTGACTCCTAGCAAGCTCTTCTTTTTCACTCCTGATAAATCCATTCTCCCCTTGAGGTGTTCAAAGCAGGAATGGCGGCCTCACTTATCTGAACTCTCACTTCTAACTTGAGTCTGAGAAACGATCCCTAATCGATTGCAATTTACGCCAAAGAGCAGCCTAATAACAAGATAAAAGGATTTAAATAAAGAGTGAACGAATTGGCAAGGCAACAAATCCACTTTGCAATAAAAAGTTGAGCATACGAGAAAGCAAGGGAACACAGTAAGCAGCAAGTGCCACTAATGGGAGCACTCAGGACAGTCCCCCTTTCTTCTTGGGGGATTTCTCCATCCCTACAGGAGGCTCAGGTGGACAGTTACCTCTTTTTTAGGAGATGGGGGTGGTGGCTGCACTCACCACTGTTATTTTAGAGGTCACAGAACACCAGTTTGATGACAAGCGCTCTAGTCCTTTCAAAACACTATAGCATCACATTAAGTGTGCAGAGCAGAGAAAAACTTAACTTGAATGTGGTTCTCCTAATAGGATCAGACCTCTTAATTTATTTCCTTTTGGGAGACATTGGATAATAATATGATTGGAGGCAAAAACTATTTCAAAAGTGACCAGAGCACAAGCAATGAACATTAACATCCAAATGGACAAAATATCCTACAGAAGCATTAAAAAGCAGTTATTGCAAACATGGAACTTTTGTTAATGATCTACACTATTATGTGTGTTGACTGAGGTTATTAAGTAAGTCACAAGAAAGAAAAAGTGAGTGATGAGTAGCTAAATAATAAAGCAAATGTGGTCTAAATGTGACTTGCAGAATCTAGGACATGGTCATGTGGACACAATTGAAATCCTTTCAATCTTTTGGATATATATATAAAAACGTTGGGGGAAAGAAGTAGACACTAAATTGGGTGAGAAACCTGCAGCAAGTGCTTGATAATGGTAACAGATTAATAAATCAAAACACTGCTTAGGATGGGGCAATAGCTCAATTAGTAGAGTGCTCTAGGGTTAGGGTGTGTGTGTTGCTAAGGATTGAACCCACAATGGGTTCAATCCTTAGCAACACACACACACACAGAACCACACTGCTAATTCTTCATATGCCCTACTTTCCAAGGACTGATGCATTTTCAATTTTCCATGAGTGAGTTGTAAGCAAAGAACTCATTTCTCCTGCTTCGCTTCCCCCAAATCCCATAACTAGGGTGGACACAGCACACTTTTCTGATACTGTTTTCACTTGTGCATAGGTGTTGGCTGTAAACTCCTTTCAAATTGCTGTCTTAAAACAATATACTATATATAACCAGCAGGCAGTACCTGATTAGATTAGTGTTCTTGGGCAATCAGTGGGTATAAACCAGTGGCTAAGAGCCTGTAATCAGCATGCCTAGGTTGTGCTGTGTAAATCTTGGGCAGGTTTTTTTTTTTTTGTACCAGGGATTGAACTCAGGGGCACTCAACCACTGAGCCACATCCCCAGCCCTGTTTTGTAATTTAGAGACAAGGTCTCACTGAGTTGTTTGGCCCCTTGCTTTCGCTGAGGCTGGCTTTGAACTTGCAAACCTCCTGCCTCAGCCTCCCGAGACACGTGGAATTACAGGTGTGTGCCAAAGCGCCAGGCTTCTTTTTTGAGGCTTTTCATCAGCAATATGTCGATAATTACAGTTCCCACCTTAAAAAATCATCAAGGGCATTAACCAAATTAATCCATGAATCTTGACATGGCACTCAGGTTAGGAGGAAGAAGTGTTAGCAAATTAGAAGAGCCATTTCTCCACATCTGGAGGTTCTTTCCCATATCCACTCTTAAACAAAAAAAAATTTTTGGGGGTCAAAGGACCTTTATTATTTATACGCAGTGCTGAGAATGGAACCCAGTACCTCACACATGCTATGCAAGTGCTCTACCACTAAGCCACAACCCCAGGCTCCCATATCCATTCTTGTCTCCAAAGTTACCCGCATTTGGGAATAATCAACTGGGGTCTCTGAAGAGTCCCCTTTAGGATTACTTAGACGAGCACTGTCCAATAGAAAAAGTGTGAGCCATGAGTACAACCAGAAATTTCCTAAATAGGTGAAATTAATTAAAAGTATATTTTAACATAGCATGTCCAAAATATTACTTATGATCAATATAAAAATTTACTAATAAATATTTTCCTTTTTTCATAGTAAGTCTTCGAGATCTCTTGGGTACTTTAACATTTTCGTTTTGAGTTAGCTATATTTCAAGTCCTCCACAGCCAATGGCTACCCCTTACTAGATAGCACAGATATAGAGTAGAGATCACAAACTTTGATTCCAGAGTCCCCCTCCCCCAAACATCTGGCTGAATGTACTCAGTGAAACAAGCACCACCGGTATTTGTAAGCACTCTAAAAATTTAGAACCACAAGTAAGCGAAGGCTTTGCTGGGTGTGGCCGAGTGCTAGAAAGCAAAGGTTGAGGTTCTCTGTTCATACAAGTTCAGGTAACAGCTCAGGACCTTGGTTACCTCCCCCATCCTCCGGAAAGGTGCGCGTCCAACAGCCAGAGAGAGGAGAGAACAATTAGTTAAATCTCGAGCAGATGGTGTTTCAGCACAAATCTTCAGAGCACCCTCCCCATGTAAAAGCACATTTCAGACACATGCGGAAATAACAAAGGCAGAAAAAGCCTACTCCACGTACTTCCGCCATCGACCTAACCTTCCCGCATCCTCCTTTGGGAGCTCGGTGCACAGTGGGCCGAACCCTCAAAGCCTAGCGCCGAGAAGTGTACACAGAGATTCAGTAAACATTCTCGGAGTGAATATTTGAATTAACGACTCCCAAAGGAGCCGGTGGCCTTCAGCAGGTCCCACAAAGCAATTCCACCCCGTCGGCTTGGGCCGGACACGCCGACCTCGTTCCCCGACCTCGTTGGTTTCCTCGCCACTCCCCAGGCAGGGCCCAGCGTGGCGGGCCTGGGTCACGGTTCGGCGGGAGGGCCCCGATCACAGAGGCCTCGCTCCCAGTAGCCCTGAATTCGGCGGGCCTGGTTGGGCCGCCGCAGACCGGACAAAACGGGGTTGCCCTTGCATCCGCTGCGGCCCCAACCACTTCCGGGCCACAACCTAGACACCTCCCACTCCGCCCGCCCAGGGCAACACTCTTTTTCCCCGCATTGTGTGCGGCGCCGCCAGGCCGCTGCCACACTGCAGGGCTGTGGAATAGGCCGGCTCCACGATGCACCCCTCTGGGCCTTGCAGGCGACCCCAGAAGCTCGGATGCAGTCGGATTCCACCCAAACTTACATCTTCCCGCCGCCACCACCTCCTTCTGCTCTCCTCAGCCGCTGAGGCTGACGCCGCTATTTCGTCAGATTAAGGAGCGGGAAGGTACCGCCTTTCCGGCGCGCAGCGATGACGTAAACGTACCAGCCACTGGGCACGAACGGCAAAGTGTTAAAGGGCCATGGCTGTTTGTTCGTAGTGGCTCTGGAGGCGCTCATGGTTTTTTCGGCTTAGAGAACCTTTAGGGCTGCTCCCGGCTGATTGCGCGCACTCTGGAGCGGACAGACCAGAGCCTCGCTGGCGCTTGGAGGGCCGCGGGGACGACTCACGGGCCGGCGCGGCGGGAGTTAGCATGGTGGCCCACCCTTCTCCTGCGCTGGCTCAGTGGCCCCGCGGCTCCGAGCCTGAGGTTGTCCCGCAGCGGGCGAGGCGGGGCGCGCCGCGCCGCGCTGCGGCCTTAGGAGGCAAGCGGTGGGGTCCTGAGGAGCCGAGGCAGTTCAGAGCGGCAGCCCATGCGGGGTGTGGATTCTTGCAGTCAAAAATCGCTAGTGGTGTACGGGTGACCGTATAGACGCGGCCTCTGCGCGAGAAGAACTCTATGGGTGGGTGCGGCAGGCTGCCGGTACGGCCAGGCTACGCCAGGAGCTTGAAGGGCAGAAGGGAAGACGTCACCGAGGAGGTGACTTTGCTGCTGGAACCTGTTTGGGAGGGCGCGCCAGGTAGAGGGAACCGCAGTGCACAGCGCTCAGGCTCTTGGGAGAAGGGAAAGGAAGCCAATTTGGCGGCTGACAGGCCCGGGCCTAGGGGCATGGAGGTTATGCAATGTGCGGTGCCGAGACTTGTTACCATCGCCTCTGGAGGGTCTTTGACCGGCCCTCTGGGGCAAGACCGAGGGAAAGGATGCAGAAGCACCAGCCCAGACAGTGGATTGTCATAACACCCGGTGCTGAGATGGCAATGCCGTTGTGTTTTGTTCCCGCGGTGGCTTCGCCTTCTCCCTTCGAGCCTGGCAAACCGTCGTTATTCTGGGATTATTTGCTCAAGAAACGGAGGTGTACTCTTGCCCTGGGGTTGTCTGAACAAGTCTGTAGCAGCAAGGGAAAAGGCAGATCCAAGTCCATCTCCTGGAGGAAGGAACCAGGGTGATTGAGATGGACAGGTGGAGAGAACTGCGTGCAGTGTGGTGACCTGAAGGAATGCAAGGGCGGGATTGGTCTGCAGTGGTTTTTTTCTGCCTGTTCCTGCTGACTCCCAGAGTGCATCCCTCTGACCCTGCATAAAGGTGTCAAGTTGGGGTCCTTGCCCTTCAGCCTGGGCTGAGGGGTTCCCAAGGAGTTGGGAACAAAACAGCTGTGGAGAGGAGAGAGGAGTCCTCTTTACTGAGGCATCAGTTGGTTCCTAGGGATAGGTTGGCAGGCCTAGTCAGTCTGGTCTGGGTATCCCTTCTTGGATTTAGACTTGACATGACAGACTGGGGTTGTGGCTCAGAGGTAGAGCGCTCGCCTAGCAAGTGCGAGGCCCTGGGTTCCATTCTCAGCACCACATAAAAATAAATAAATAAAGATATTGTGTCCAACTAAAAATAAATATTAAAAAAAGAGAGAGATAAGTTAACTTACCTGCATTAATGTCACATTTGCTGTGGCCCCATATGAGGCATAGTGGATCAGAAGGCCAGCCACATGGAGATTTGAACCTGCCCCTTAAGTAAAAAAGGGGCCTTGGAGGGTCAGTAATCAGGATGAAGCAGCCTTTGGATGTCAATGGGCAATATGTGGAATTCTCTGAGGAGATAGGGAAACTCACCATCAGTTTGGGGTCCCCAAACCTAGAGCCTGTGCCCAGTGTAGCACTGACACCCTAAGGGAGAAGGGAGCAGCCTGGGTACCACACTGTGGTGAGAAGGGGGTTGGGACAGAAATGGCTGGGCCAACACCTCCTCTCCTGCTTTGTTTTTTTTGTTTATTTAATTTTATTTTTTAATTGTAGATGGACACAATACCTTTATTTATTATTTATCTATTTATTTATTTTTATGTGGTGCTGAGGATCGAACCCAGGGCCTCATGATTGCGAGGCAAGTGTTCTACCACTGAGCTACAACCCCAGCCCCCCTGCTTTGCTTTTGATCCAAAGCAATTTAATTTGCCATTTTTTAGAAGCTTTAGTGCATTTTATACTAAATCAAAATGTGATTTGTTCAGGCACTCTGTTCAAATTTGTTTCTAAATGTTACTGATTTTGGTAATCAAGTATGCTATCAGTTGTTGAGCTTTGAAGATGGATGTTTTTGTCATTTTGAGTATCATCAAAAATATGTTTGCGGGGTCGGGGGTTGCACTTGCCTCTCACACATAAGGCACTGGGTTCCATCTTCAGCACCACATAAAAATAAATAAATAAAGATATTGTGTCCATCTACAAATAAAAATATATTTAAAAAAATATGTTTGGGGGCTGGGGATGTGGCTCAAGCGGTAGCGCGCCATGCCTGGCATGCGTGCGGCCCGGGTTCGATCCTCAGCACCACATACCAACAAAGATGTTGTGTCCGCCGAGAACTAAAAAATA